AAATATGTTTTATCAATCGCTGTTGTTTTTTTTCTATCAGAATCTGTCATATTTTGTTTGAATTCTGTATCCTTACTTTAATATAACTGACACAAAATATATTTTAATATTTTAATTAAAATACAAAATTGATTACTATTAATGCAGTCGTTTTTATAGAGTTCAATTTGCGCCTTGCACGAAGACAGCAACAGCATTTTTAACTCTCTTCTGCTAAAAAAAATTAAATAAGCGGCAACGCTTTAAGAGTGACTTTTCGCTTGTACACCCAGTCACACCTGAAAAGACCATACTCGTAAAATTAATTCGATGTGCTTTTGTAATAAGATGCTGGAATCTCTGTTAGAGGACCCACTAGCCGTAAGCTAGTCTCTGGCAGGTTGTATTCGATTGAAGCGACGATCAAAAAATTCGAATACGGAAGTGCTTTGGTATCACAGCTATGAGGCACCGCTAGGCAGTGTCACGTTGAGGGGTTAACTAGATAGAACTCGCTTCAGTCTTAGACAAGCCCCGAGTTAAAGCAACCGTGCCTACTACTAAAGAGTTCAAGCATTAGCTTTGTCAAATCGTCTCCTGCGCCTCCTTCGCAGCCGCAGCATTTGCCTGTGTACAGAAGTTGCGAATAAATTTGACAAAAACTATCCACGCGTCTTGGAGTATACTTCGTCTCCTCCACAGAATCTGTTCACCAAAACTGGGCCAAAGCCAAGAAGAAACAAATGAAAAGGCAGTTACCGAATCAAACCCGAATCAATCTGTTAAAAATATTACCTCTGTTCATTAAAATCAAATATTACATAAAAACGACTGCAATAATTGTAACCTATTTTGTATTTTAATTAAAATATTAAAATATATTTTGTGTCAGTTATATTAAAGTAAGGATACAGAATTCAAACAAAATATGACAGATTCTGATAGAAAAAAAACAACAGCGATTGATAAAACATATTTTTTAATATAGGGTAAGGCTTTAAAATAAATAATATGTCTTGGAGTTACTATTCCATCCTTCTCTTACGAAAAACAAGTAAAACCATTCAAAATCCTCCCTGGCGGTAGCAATTTCCCGCGCGCCACATATTCCTCCGCAGTACTACCGCATTTTCCACTAATCATGCGCAGCCATCACGCCTCCGACGTCCTGTACGCACAGACGGAAGCTCCAGAGATGCCGGACCCTCTCTCCGGTGAACCCACCGACCAGCATGGCATCCCGTTGTCCGTCGCGCACAGTCCGCAGACCAACCTGCCCGTTTGGCAGTTCATCCATAAGCTGGACACGCCCCTCCCGAACCCGAAGAGTGGTGATCGCCCGTACACTCACATCTGCATCTTATGTTCGGCCTCTCCGCCGCCGCGGGCCACGACGAAGCGTGCGGCCACGTGGCGCGACGCCCTGATGCGCCAACGGATGTCCACGAACGCCGTGGCACACATGCAACGCGTCCATCCAGAAGAGTTCGTCACTATTGCCGATTATAAGCAACGCAAACGGGAAGCGTTGGCGGAGAAAGCTTCCAATGGAGCGAACGAACCCAAGAAGAAGAGAGCCAAGAGAACGCCAGGGCCCAAGAAGCAGACCACGACCAACCGTCCAGTTGACGACAATCAGGAGAGTAAATCTGCTGATGCAGTGCCAGTGGCTGCGGTGGTCAAGACTCAGAAGACGGGAGTGTCGGCACGGAAGCGTGCGGCTGGCAAAATGACGGACCTGGTCAAGACGTGGCTTATCTCGTCGGGTTTGCCCGTCTCCGTGCTGCAAGATGACACCTTGCAACACCTTCTGAAGATGTCAAACTCGGCTAATTTGACGTTGCCAACCGCAACGAACCTGAATGCTCAAGTACAGGATGAGTTTGCGAGGTTTGGCAGCTTTCTGGGCTCATATCTCGCTTCCGAGTCTCAGGCGGCTATGGGTCTGCCGTTCTTATCGCTTCGTCACGGATTCCGACCAATCGTTGGTGCTACTGCTGAAGATGGAGTGAAAGACGACGCCGTGTCGAACCAGGAGAAGGCGTTCCTTAGTGTGGCAATAGGATTCATTGATTCCCAGTGGCGCAGAGTGGACCTGGTGCTGGCAGCGAAGGAAGTTCCAAGCGGTTGGAGCCAACAAGTCAACCAACTTGTGACTCAGACTGTCGCAGAGACGTACAGCATCCCCTCGATCTCAAACTACGCGCGGTTCCACGTGGATGCCGTGGAGGACTCTCCATCGAGTCTTGAGGTTGGCGGAGAGTACGAAGCTTCCGCTGACGACCACGAGGACCTATTGACACACACGCTGCGTCACTGTGTGATCGATGCACTGGGTGTCGGCGCCACGAGCTCTTTCGGTGAAGAAACCAACACTCGTCGCATTCTACGACTGCTTCAGGAACTTCTGGGTTTCTTCGAGGCGCCTGATCGAGCCAATACGCTCGCGGAGATCGGGACTACGAGCGGAGTTCATGTGACGTTGTATTCAGCTTCATCAATTGACGCACTGGCACTCTCCTCCTTGACGTCAATTGGCGCAATTGCTGAGCTGTTGCGAGTGAGTTGTGCTCGATACCGTGCCTACTGCTTGTACTTCCAGTCGTCTATGAGGCCAACCGTAGCCGAGCCGGAGTTGGAGACGGCGTGGACGCAGCTTTCCACGGACGACTGGCAGACTGTCACGGAGATCGAATCCATTTTGAACCACCTGGTGCAGTTCCGTCTTGAAGAGCGCATTGCTCCGAGACCAGGAGCAGTTGCGCCTTCCTATGCGCTGCTGTTCCGCCGTTTACTCTCAGTTACAGTCAATGCCTCCAGTCTGAAGTGTCTCTCGTTAGAGGACGATGCTGTCGTTGGTTCTTCCCCAGTGAAGCGTACTGCGCGTCGTAAAGCCAAACGTGTGGACTTGTTTACTCCGACAGGCCGTCAATGTCTCGAGCAGCTCCGTCAGCTGATCACGCAGCATTTTTCGACTCCAACGACCTCGTCTGAAGTTGATGATGAAATCAAAGCCATGCTACTGGATCCCCGTATCAGCTCTAAGGCTGTCAATCTCGTCTCGGACAGTTGTGTGTTCCGTCGCGCTCAAGAAGCTTTGCGTCAGGAGCATCGCGTGGTTTTCCAGTTGCTTGCAGCTCGACCGAGTGATGCTAGCTCAAGTACTGAAGAAGAGGTGGAAGAAGATGAAGACGACGACGAAATGAGTTCACTATTGATGGTTGATGGACCAAAGAACCAGCCGCCTGCTGCTGCGTCGACTACGAGCAGTGGGAAACGTTCAAGTGATGCTGTGGCTGAGGACGAGGCTCGTGCGTGGCGTGAATGGCAACAAGTGTATGTCGCGTGGGACACTCTTGCAACCGAGGGAGCAGACTTGTTCGACAAGGGCCAGTACAACCTGCTGAAGCTGTATCACCACGTGAATATCCTGAAGTGGTTCCGAGATGTTGGTCAGCAGGCGCATCCAGCGGCGGCACTGCTCGCTCGCATGTACCTTGGTCAGCAACGTCCTCCGTCTCGAGCTCTGGGGGCATCCCTGTTACGGTTTTCGAAGCAGGAAGAATCTGACTGGGTTTCAGGGGCTGCCGAGCGAGCAGAGAAGCGTTGCATCCTTCACCACAACTGGCGTCAGTATCAGCAACTCAGTGCAGGTGCAGCGGTTGTTTCCGCCATGGATGAAGACATTAAGATTACCACTATCTGAGAATAATTAACAAGCGTGTGCTTTCACTGCTGATAGGGCGAATCTTCTTAGTGCATTTCGCTCCAGGCCACTAAATATTCTCTTATTAATTCTCTTTATTTCGTGCTATCTGTCTTACAGAAGAGAGAGCTTCTACTGTAAAAGATATGCTCATGCACTGATCGACCAGCGTCAAATCTTTATCAGATATAGAAACGCTCAAATAACAATTGAAGTCGCTATTGCAAATAATTGTTATGTTTGGGATTTATCAAACGGAAGTTGCCCAAAACACCATAGGATATTTTTGCGTGTACTCGGTGAGTCGCACATAGAACCCCCAAGTGAGAGAATCGTTTTCTAGGACATCAGGACAATTAGGATTTGTGTATTTAGAATATTTTAGCACATCCTAAACGCTAAAATATTCTAAATACGCAAATCCTAATCGCCCTGATGTCCTAAAAGCAATAATGAAATCCGGAATCATCCAAATTCTGGCTTGATTCGTTCATCATTTGAAGCTACCGTTACGCAGACACGATACAACGTAGTTCACTTGATTCTCGAACACCGACCTGTTTCACCTGTTCTTGAAGCTTGCGTTGGCAAACTTGGTGATTAGTTGACACGCATTGCTCGCGAACAAGCTCAACACTGATCATACCACTTCATCTGCACCCTCAAATGCTCCCCTAGGCCAGCAGGTCGCCACCAATTCTAATCATCAGAGTAGGCAAATGTAGCGTCAAATTGCAGTTTAATGCAGGACCAGCGATTAAATATCACCTCAAGACAACGAACATTCAAATGGTGGCCATTAACGAGATATCGAGGCGAAATTGCTGTCCTCTTGCCGTGCTTCAAGCTGCAATGTACTTGAAACCCTACTCCATGTTTGTGTGTTTCGGGACATGGTAGCATGTGTTGATCTAACGTTCCTTGACCAATCACTAATACTGTTTGCGAGCCAATTTAAAAAACTTCAAGAAACCCAGTGGATTCTTCTTGAAAGCTTTTGCCGCATCTTTCACCCACCCGAACTTCGTCGTCGCACGCAGCGATCTCTCCTCCTTCACGGCAGATCCGCCAGCGCCTTGCTGAGCATCGTTGGTATCAACGGACGGCAGAACCGTTATCCCCGCCGTAGTATTCCCCGCCATAGTGTCGTTCGTTTCCTTCACAGTGGTAGATTCCACCTGGACGTTTGGCGCAGGAATATTATTTCTTTCACCGGCGAGGCCATCGACGGTGGCAACAAGGATTCCGACTGCTGCTAGCAAAATGTGGCTGAGGCGCATGGTACTGGATGGATAGAGAGCTCCAAACTGATCTTCTTAACGACTCGAGGTTAATTGTGGAATGAACTACGTTATTCTCGCAGCAAACAGAGAGTGCTGGTAGATAATATCGTACGCAATCATAGATCGTCATCAAAAAAGCATATGATGATAAACGTGCCGGGCACCGGGTGCCTTCCAAAACTGTCCTGAAACGGTTTTATCAGTTTAATCGGTAATTTATTTTAAATGACAAAACGGTTTAACCCTTTCGTTATTCCCATTCAACTCTATATTAAGCTCCTTCATACTGAACTCAAGTCAAAGTTGTAAAAAGGTACATTAAGTACCTTTTTATAATATCTATTAAAAGAGGTTTTTCTAGAAATTTTGAGTTAAAATGGGATTTTTTTATGATGTGTGCAAGGTTTTAGGCGACCCTTCACTTACTGCTCATACAGGAAAGGGTCCATGCCGCAGCGTGTTGCAATCGCTCAAGAAATGTCGCATGACCGCCTTATCAAACGAAAGACTTCGCTTTGACGAGTTGCAAGCAGAATCACATGGAGCCCAAAGTCAAAGCTTCTACTCACCATGGAGCCCAAAGTCAAAGCTTCTACTCACCGATAAACTAAAGAGGCAGTGTGAATGCAAACTCCGTGAGCCACGTTGTCACGGTAAATGCTGTGTCGCTAAGCAATGGTTTTTCGAAACTTTCTTCATTATGTGACCGAGAATCTACCTTGATCTCTGATCAAGCACTGCAAACAAGAATATAAGGCAGAAGAGCTGATTAACCGTGAGTGCTCCGGCAAGAAGCGAATTCGTACTGGCGATGCAGGTTTGAAGCTTCGAGCGCTGTCTGGCGACATATAAATCAAACTAAATGCAGCACGACCAAGATGTTTCCATATAGCTTATGTCTTTGTTGCTTTTACTATCTAGATTGGCAGTGAAATCGTGGTTATTACTGATGTATAGACCATCGATCGAGGATGCAAATGTCCCGGACGCTTACTTGGCAATGATTGTCGCGTAGTTTCACGTTGCAGGTACGTATAAACGCACTAATGGTGCATCACATTTCTGAATTTCCTCCATAATGATGCTGAGTAGCATTCAAAAGATTGTGGGGTGACGAAGTTGCCGATATTATTTTCAATGAATGTTCGTGGTATCGGTGTGCTGTTCCGAAATAGCTATAATATTGATGGCTTAGTAGCCCTACACACGTGCTAGCATTTCAAGGAACAGTTATCGCTAAAACCGTAGTTCCAGACTACGCTGGTATCGACATTTAATGAACGGTTGCATCCCTCGGCTGTTATAATGTAATAATGACGATGGGGACCATTTATTATTGTAGTTACTGCGTGAAATAGAGCTCAGCAAGGCTCACTAGGACACGAAACGTTGGGTTTGTCCTTGCGTCATTTCATGAACGGTACTTGGGCCTTGTAAATGGCAGAGCTCCTCATCAGGTTTCCGCTTTGGCTGTAAGCCCCTTTGGGCAAATAATACTCATGGTACTTTTGCCAGCATGTCCAACTCGATTCCTGACACAAATGTCGCTTTGTATCATCAACGGAATAACCTCGCTAGCAATGGGAGACCTTATACGTCTCGTAATAATCTGTTTTCTGGGTAGGAGTTCGGTTTTCAAATCTGCACACTGTACACTCTCGCGTTGCGCGACTTCTGCCATTCAAGGGTATCCAGGATTCTTTGGCAACACAAAAGGGACCCACGCTATCTTCTGCTGGTCCCACACTGTGTTCATGGACAGGCTGTGTACCAGCCAACGGCGTTGGATCCTGGTCTGCATATACAATTCCGCTGCCATTATTTTTTCCATTTCCTCCACGTCCCGTCAAAAAGCTCTCCAATAAGCTCCGCAACAAACGAGCGATGTCGATCACGACCACGAAGCTGAGATGAGGATCCATCGAGCTGCGTAGCGCCATTCACATCGTCACCTTGAGCGAGAGTGTGACATATATAGGTATTACATCGCGTTATATCTATCATAGTCATCGCGATCTCTTATGCCATTTTTTGAACGAATGCCAACTAGCAATTGAAAAACGACTGCGTAATTGATCGTGACGATCCACACCCTGCATGGCTGTATTGTACTCACTAAAACAAGCCGGGGCTTCAAATGGTACCAGTTCTTATTTGATTCTTCGAAAAACCGTGTTTGTTCGGGAACCATCCGCATTGGAAACTACGTTTACAATCGATCCGTCCATCCAGCTAGCGGCTAATATGTGTTTTTCCCCCACAAACACCTTGTTTTGCCCTTCTCCGTTCCTTGTCCACCTTCGGGTCTAATATTGTGAAGGGTGGGATATGCTTGCTAGATGACCGAACACTCCCTCGCCCATACAGCCCGACTGACCTCAAGCTCTCAAAATGAAGGTGTGAGGTATAGAAATGATCGGTATATACAATACGACGTGATCCTTCCAACGATTGCGTAGCTTCCAGTACATGGCGTCGTACTTCAGACGAATTTCGTGTCAACTCAGCTAAGCGATCAATCTGCGGAGTTTTAAGTACACCATCCAGTCTATCATGAAGTTCGCTTGAGCAATGTAGCTTAAAATTTAGCACCAACCACGTGCTTAAACAGCAGCACATGTACAGTTTGAAATGGCATTTTCCGCTGGGCTTTCTCGGATTGTAGATGGTGATGTGACGTGCGTATTGCGACCGGCATGCAATGCTAGTCTCGCCGACGGCAACATTTCTGCCAACTATAAAATGACGCATGCATCGTGTTTTCAGCATTGACAACAGCGGTCGAATTTTGGCAGCAGGATCGCGCTTTGTCTCCGTTGGGGTCACTTCAGAGCGGAAAGATAGGTTTCTACGGATGTACAAGAAACGAATCCACGCCATCACCGACCCCAAGTTTGTAGAGCTGGTACCGGGGAATATTCTGGATCCCTCACTATCGCTCCAGTAGTTCGCCATTTCACCTTTATTGACAAGGGCCATATACCAAAGATACCCAAGAAAACGTCATGAGCACATCTGGCGTAATTTCTGACAAAGTTCGGATACTTTTTGCTGCAGCATAACCGTTGCTAAACTCCACCACTTGTTTCCAGAAAGAGATAGACAGAAAGGAAAGAAACTAGACGTTGCAGAGTGACCGAAGAATTTGCGACTGGTTTCTTTCAGCTTCGTGTCCGTGGATCCGTCGGCATGCGAAAATAACCCTATCGGCTGCTCAAGTCTTGCCATCGGATTAAACGTCATCGCCTCAATTGCCTCAATTTCATCAGGTCTGAGTGCTATCTGGAGCTCTTTGCGACCTCTAAATGCGTTGAGCCCCAGTATTCAGTGTCATCTAGCTCTTCAAACTCCTCTGTCAGTGTGGAAATGTTAGAATACTTT